CAATTTCCAAGGAAACATTATTTTGATTGTCAAAGTTTAAAATAGGTGCGTTTGACTTCCATTTTCTCAATTGAAAACCATGACGAGACAATAATTCGGAAGTAAGTGATTGAATACGTTTGATATCTTCTATTGTAGAACCACCTGTGTGAAGATCGTCGACATAAAAGTCCCGTAAAATTATAGAAGATATGTCGGGAAAATCGGTTGCATACATATGTGCCACTTCTTGAAGACATCTAGTGGCAAGAAAACTAGCAGAAGCAGTACCGTAAGTAACGGTGTTTAAAGTATAAGTTTCGAGAGAGTTTGTATGATTAGACCGCCATATGATCTTTTGTAAGGAGCGTTCTTCCTCCTTTATCAGAATTTGTCGATACATCTTTTCTATATCAGCTGTTACTACAAAATTATGTTTACGAAAACGTGAGATGATAGTGAAAAGATCATCTTGTAAATTAGGTCCAACCATAAGAATGTCATTCAGGGAAAAACCTGAATCTGTATTGGCAGAACCGTCAAAAACAACACGAATTTTATTGCCTTTATAGACACAATGATGAGGAAGAAAGAACTCATAGCCTGTGGTTTCAAAGGGTGAAACGGACATATGGTGTAAGGATAAATATTCATCGATAAAACGAGTGTAATCATCTTTTAATTCAAAATTCGCATTAAGTTTCCTTTCGAGAGAATAGAACCTTTTTGTTGCTGTAGTCTTAGAGTCGCCTAGATTGTCGACGGAAGATTTCAAGGGAAGTGATACTACAAACCTACTAGAAGAATTAAGAGAGGTTGTTTTTAAGAAGTGATCTTCACAAGAAAGTTCTTCGTTAGACAAAAATTTTGTTTTTGGGCATTCTTCAATTTCCCAAAATTTTTGAAGTTGATCTTCTATGCTTAACTTGTTTATGGTCGACAAATGGCATGAAGTTCTGGCTGCAAGGGTATTGTTTGGAAATAATGGACCTGAGACAATCCATCCAAGTTTAGTTTTTTGAAGAATCGGTTGTCCAGGTGATAATTTAATCTGACCAATACAAATTAAATTCCAGAAGATGTCTGCACCGATAAGAAGATCAATAGGAGAAGAAATATTGAAGTCTGGATCGGCCAGAGTAATATTAGAAGGGATATTAAGTGTTCTCTTATCAAATGTGACAGAAGGCAAATTTCCTGCAATTTCAGGAAGCACTAAGCAAGAAATTACTTGAGAAAAGTTTAAAGTTTTAGACTTAAATTTGACCGATGTTCTGTAGCTTACAATAGAATTTGTTTGGTTTATACCAGAAATAGAAAAATGTGTTTTGGTTGTAGGCAACCTTAGAAGATTTAATAGGCGCTGGGAAATGAAATTACTTTCAGAGCCATTATCTAGAAGTGCACGAGCCTCGTGTTCATTACCTGAGATGTCAAAGACGTTTATTTTTACAGTTGACAGCAAAGTAGTAGAGTTGTGCTCAAACGAAATGTTACGTGCTGTCAGTGCATTAGACCCTTCTGATGTACTTGGACTAGAGCAAGGTAAACTGCTAATGGTTTGATTACTGGTTTCCGTAAGCATTTGTGAGTTACTTTGAAAGTGTAAAAGTGTGTGGTGTATTTTTCCACATTTACGACACCCGGAAGATTTGCATTCCTTAGTGAAATGACCACTACGCAGACAATTTATGCAAAGTCGCAAGCGTTTTGCTTCATTATGTCTTAATGACGTTTCTAATTTGAGAAAATCAGGACAAGTGTAAATTAGATGTTTTTGTTTGCATAAAGAACAGTTGGAAGAATTATTTGTTGACAAGAAATTCTTGGATTTGGGATTGCCTGTAGATGAAAATTTGGGACGAGATTTTTCTTCTTGATGATTAATAGATTCTAAGACTCTACATTTACCTTTTAAAAATTCAGTTAAGCTACTCAAAGTGGGTAATGTGTTCTTATCGTCTTTAATTGACAGTTCCCATTCTTTGTGTGTGGCATTGTCTAGTTTCGTGGTAATTAAATATATAATAAGGGCATCCCAAGATGTTGTGTCTAAGTCTAAGGACTCAAGAGAGCGTAAATGTCTTTGGAAACCATCAACTAAAGTACGTAGATCATGATGTGAATCTTTTGAAATCTTAGGTAGGTTAAATAATTTTTTAATGTGATTATTGACAAGAAGAGATTTGTTTTCGAATCTGTCTTTTAGTAACTCCCACGCAGTTTCATATGTTGCCTCAGAAATGTCCAGGTTACGTATTGTTTCTGCGGCAATACCTTGTAAAGATAATCTTAGATAGTGGAATTTCTGAATATTGGAAAGTTCTGTGTTTGTATGAATGATGGAATTAAATGTATCCCTAAAAAACAACCAATTTTCATAGTCACCCTCAAAGGAGGGCAAGTTAATAGCGGGTAACCTAATATTAATAGAACTTTGTGAAGTATTTTCGGAAGAAATTGTCGAATTTGAAGCTTGAGCAACCTGACCACAGGGTTTTGAAAAATTGGTGTCAATAAAATCTCGCACAGCGCTAGTAACATGGAAAAACGGCGTTTCGAAAGACGACCTTTCTATACCATGAATAGTATCTGCGTTGGCAGTATAGTCCTCATCAGAGGCCTCAATAAGTGATTGAGCGTTGTCAAAATCGTCAAAAAGTTTCTCAATTCTATCAAGTCGAAGTTGTAAATCCCTAAAGTTAATTTGTTCTAAAGGTTTGTTTTTGATAGAATTAAAATACGTACTAAAACGGGTTACAGAACCTTTGATTGAAGAGCGTTTAGTTTTTGCTGTAGCGATGTCAGCCATAGTAACAATATAACTTAGATATTCTCAAAAGTAAAAATGTATGTATGTATATGCAAAAAACAATTAAAATCAATTATGTAATGTGTATAAAAATGCTTTGCGAGTGAATAAAAAACTAAAAAAGATAATATTTCAACTTGTAATAGTTTATAAATGTAAAATGAAAAAATTGAAATAAATTTAAGGACGCTACTATGTATTAATGTATAAATGAAAATATTGAAATCTCTAAATGTGTTAAAGGATTAAAATACCTGCTTTTAAAAATAAATATTTCCACTGAATTACATCAAATACAAATGTACCCTTTTAACGACCATAAAAGATAGGTAAATACAGGAAATGTGCACTAACCTTTGAAAAGAGAATATACCTGCGTCTTCCGATGATAAACTGTGTGAATGGGACGGCAAATTCCGTAGAAAATGAATTCAGCTTACATGGAATGAACAGCAAAATATTGTTGATCACTGGATAATATCCGCTTGAAGAACCACTTATGTTGGGGTGTAGGTTGAATCTTATTGGAATTTCACGTAATAATACACAAAAACAAATCACTTAAACTAAAACTGTATTGAAGTAAAAAAAAATAGCACATTTAAAATATTTGTATACGTTCAATGTAAAAATAGCGTCCTAAGCGTAAATGATGTTGTGTTGACTCGAGATGAGCGTGGACTGTAATGGCTTCTCCTCCGCTACTTGCATCCCCTCTCGAGGGGTGTACTTAACTTGAGGTGCAGTATACGGGGTTGCTCGAAAGTTCCAATATCTAATTTTAAAGTTTTAACACTACTTTCGCAAAATTTTTGACTTATTCAGTGTATATTTATAGGTTTTTTATCTGTAATACGTGTAAAAAGTAATTAGTGTAAATTTCACGAATTAACTTCGACTATTGGCGACGTGCAAGTACTTGGATGTGATACGAGAAACGATCGTGCGCGAGTAGCGGAGAAATCTTGCATTTTTTACTGCACATTTCATAGATTTCATAAATTCATATTGTCAATTGTCATATTTCATATTCGTTTGTTTATTTACACCTTCTGTCACTGAAGAAAATGGGATTTAGTAAATGCTGTTATAAATTGTAAAAATACAACAAAAAATTGTCAATTTAAGTTTTATTCGTTTCCAACTTCGAAGCACAAATTACTACAAAGAGAAAAGTGGATTTATATCATAAAAAAGCATAAGTAACATAACCTAAATTATGCATTATTGTTGCGCCCGATTTTAAAGTCAGTTTGAAATAAAAAATAAATAAAAGTTCACCTTTAAGTGTAAATTTTAGTTTCATATCACTCACTTAGAGTTCACTTTAACCCAAAAATCAAGTTTAATGTTTAAATTTTATTTTTTTGAAGTTTACAAAAACGCATCAGGGAAAGAATTAATTGTTTAAACCAATATGATGATATCATGGGCTTAACCAGCTAATTTATGCATTAGCACAGTATAAATAACAACTTTATTTTCCCTTTGACTCAGTGCTTGGCTGAAAAGTTATTTGGTGATTTACTTTCTCAAATCCAGTTTTTATTATTGCATCCATATTAACAGTAATGATGTAATTTAATAATATATTTATTTGTATTTACACTACATACAACGTTTACCTTTTAATAACAAACCGACATAACCTCAATCTAACTTTTTCTTCTTATTCTTTTTTGGGGCTACGTCCTTGACAGTTATCCGGTAACCTCGATCTAACATGAAAGCGCAGTAAATTTTGCTGATTTACGACACCAGGTGTCGCTGTTCCAAACTTGCACGGTCCCAATATTATTCGTCTTTTGCGTTCAATCGCACGGTTGCGGGTTGCCACCATAGGGCATGTTATTCGTAAAAATTAAATACTATTAACTGTCCACTTATAAATATATATATATATATATATATATATATATATATATATATATATATATGAAAATGAATGATTTATTACTGTCTCCCTTACTTAGTGGTGTATTCACTCTATGAGTGTATTTAATTTACGTATGTGTTTATAGCAAACCAGTGAAATAAAATTCACCTTTAACTCCATTGATATTTCATTTTGTATTGTCATTTATTGTAAAATAGAAAATATCCAATGCATTAAAATCTTGCTGTCTCGCTTCTTTGGTTTACTTAGTAGACCAAAGATTGAGAATGCGTTGTGCCAATTGCTATTGCATATTTGCTTTTTTGCTTTCAGATAACCAGAACCACGAAGGAGAAAGCGTGACAGTGATAACGGGCGGCGAAACATTGTCAGCATTCGAAGAAGGCCTCGCAGACGACGACTCCTGGGTGGAGAATCTCAGTCACGATGAAGAAGACGAAGATGAAGACGAATTCGCCACGAACTCCGGAACAGACTCGTCCTCCGGAGAAGAAGTTACGCTAACCTGCTCAGCAGCTATTGACCAAGAAGAGGATCTGAGAGGTTATCATCGTGCTGCTATTGACTTTACTCTTCATACTATCGTAGAAGAGAGCTGTGAGGAGAGTGAAGTCGAACAATGTATACCGAAACGAAAAGAACGACCAACTTCTGCCACGGATCTCGAAAAATACTTCTTTTTTGGCCTTGGGGATGGGTTAGCACAATCTCTACCTTCAAATCGAGAAGATGCTTTCTCTGAAACAAGTAGCATATACAGTGAAGGAATGGAATCGCTTGGAGGAAGCGAAGAAGTCCATACACCTAATGATACCTCTGATCCAGCAGAACTAGCATCATCAAGACTGGAAAAATATTTCTTGAGTGGCTTCATGGGTTTCACAGCAGAACGAAGAGATTCTGATGGAAGTGTGGGTAGCGACAGTGAGGGCCGCCCTAGTCCCGAACAAAGAAGAAAGAGACTGGTACGGGCTCGTGGTACGGGAAGGTCTCATTCTTCTTCTTTAGATAATCTAGATAATGCAGTTAGCGAACAAACCGTCGAAGCTCAACTAAACTCCGAAGATTCATCTAGTTCAGATTCAGAAAATTACGATGAAAATAGCTTTGAAAAACCAGACGGACAATTTGATACAGTTAAACGGAAAAAGAGTAAAAAACCAAAGAGCTCGAATGCAGAAGAGTCCAAAAACTTAGAGATTACTCAAGAAATTGATGAAAGAGATAGTGAAACGGACGAGGATGGCCACAAAACGCCACAACCAGAAATACCTGCTGCCGTTACGAATCTTACCACAACGAAAAACCAGCAAAGTCGAGATAGTGGTTTTGTTGGAAGTTGTGACGATCTGTTGCGGGAACAAAGAGATAATAACACTCCAGATTTCACATCTGGTAAAAACGAACTGAAAGTCGAACTCGAAGATATTACCGAAGAAAAAAAATTAGAAGATAAAGCAATACTATTATCAACACCTCCAGCAACATCTCTTACCAGAAAGGATAGTTTTAACAACTGGAGTTCAGATGAAGAGACTAATCTAATGATGTGTAAAATGAGACAATTCTTCAAGACTATGGTTGCTAATTCTCAATTAAGTTCTTCCTCTAAACCGTCGACGCCTACTTTAACTTGCACTGCCAAACCTCTTCCAAGTCCTCGTGCCAAAAGATGCAAACCTCCTCAACTAGTTTACTTTGAAAATGAACTAACTCGACTCATGAAGACCGTTCCTGGTATTAGAGATGATCAAGTGAGAGAAATCGTAGAATATTTAAGCAGTGAAGATACTTGGAGTGATTCTTATGATTCGTCCGATTACACCAGCTCTGATCTAGAGATAACAACATCAAAAACCGTTCTACAACAACAAATTTCAGACAGCTGCAAGCAAATCATTAATAAATTTGATAATAGAGTTGACGATGAAGGAGACGAAGGGGACGGTGGTATAATAGACGAATCTCATGGACTCAATAAAGAAACTGCTTTTGTGTATCAAAAGTTGGTAGCGTCTTTCGAAAAAATGGCTTCAGGAGATCACAGTGAGGCGGCAGTTCCTAAAGTTACACCTCACAGTTCACCACCGTTGATAGCCAAAGTTATGCACCATATCGGAAGTCGTCTGGTGGCTTTAATGCATGAAGTTTCCAGTGGAGAGAGTCACGCTAGTAATTCCCCAAAAACAAAACACTACCATCGAAGACTGCAACATAAAATATCTTCAGCTTCCAGTACGACGACCGAGGACGACTGTCCAGAAGGAAGTGGGGATGTCATGGGATATGAAGACCATCACGTTCCATATAATTTACTACCTAGAAGTAGATCTCATGATTTGTTAATGGGTGAAACAAGGGCGCATCAGTCGACTGGAGGTGTCTCAGATATAGCGGAAGAAAAAGAAGCTAGTGATTGTGAACGGTTCAGTTGGCGCGGTAGTTTCGAGTCTGCTTTGCTTGCTACAGACTCTCGTAATAAGCTTTCGCTCTTGGGAGGCGAAGCGTCTGCTTCAGCTTTAGCCATCGCTGCGAAGAGAAGATCTGCCGGAGACTTGCTCTTTAGCCACAAAAGTCTTAGTCGGGAACAGTTGGATAGAGTGCGGAGTTGTGGTAGTATTGGTGGGGCAAACAGTGAGGACAAACTTTGGGTGGCTTCAGCGATACGTCCAAATCGAAGGCGGTCGAGTGTACCAGACGCTACTTGCGGTTCGGGTGGTTCCGCGGACGGCGAAGACGAGGATGAAGAGATGGAAAGCAGATCAACGCTTCCTAGGAGTTTACAGGGCGGCACTCCTACCACTAACTCTTTACCTCGTCTTCCGACCACAGCTGCCGCTAGTAGCATACAAAAGAGTCAGAGTCATCATTTCTTATCTCAAAATGTTAAAAGTGCTCGATACAGACCTCCGGGGTTTAATAGACTGACCGCGATACCGAAAAGAGCTGTCTCCGCGCCTGGTCTTCAACCGAGCCATCAGAGGAGAGGAAGAAGATCTCAACAAAGTAATGTTATCAATGGTGAGTCATCTTTGGGTTATCAGGTGGTGGTAGTTTTATTTCTCAATGATAAGATCAATACAGATTTTGTTATACAAGTTAAGATGTTGTTGTTGATACCTATGGTTTTCAGTTTTTCTTTAAACTACACATAACTGTTTATAATAATGCAAGTTTCTTTCAATAATAACTACACAACACAATCTTTTAGTATTTAGTAATTACATATCGAGACCTTTCTTAGTCAGTTAGGAGATTTGATGAATATTCTTCGAGTTGGCCAATGAGGAGATTTAGCTAGAAAGAAAATTACTTAAAGATGTCAAAATATACCACGTTCACAAAATATAAAAAACTTATTTTACCAATTCGTCTTCAAAACAATATCCTATAGCTTACGTAATATCTTCGACTGTTTTGTACATGTTGACTCATACAGATTTACCTTGATCACTTTGTATTTCGAGAAAGAGTGAGACAGCGATGAAAAGAGAGCTTCATTAGCATTCTTATTAGTATACCCAGTTAGCATATCTGTACTATAAAAAGTTTGTTACTTCTTTAATTAAAAGAATTATGACATTATGAGAAGTTGAAAGCGTGTAAACATTGATATTTGATCTTTGCTATAACAGTTCAAGATTGGAATGAAATGAAATTGTATACGGGGCGTCGTATAATGTTTATTCATGTCACAATTACAATGTTAACATTAATATGCTTATTGAATTTGTTGGAGTTTCCTTAGCAACACGATAGTGAAAAATTATGTTTAGAAACTAAAAATAAAATAAATTTTGCATTTTAAGGTATTTTATACTTAATTATTTTGTTATATTTACAGAGTACTTATCTAAAAGTAGGTTGATTAATAATTATTTTATTTGGACACAATTTACGTCTATTTTATTACGTCTATTTACGACGTGTCCAATAGAAAACAAATCATAGATTTTGAAAAAAACATAAAATGTAAAATTTCAGTCGTCAGAGACGAAAATGCCACTGAACCTCTAAAATCCAAACGAATAAGCTGAATTTTTGCTGAGAATGTCAATTTTTCTTCTTCTTTTTCTTTCTTCTTATATGTAGACTTTAAAGCATGTTTCTTCGTCAATATTAGCCTCCTAAATTGTTTAAATTATCACAGCATCTTTTTCTTGGTTTGCCAATAATTCTTCGTCCATTGGGTGACTTGTCTCGTGCTATTCGTACTATCCTATTGTCTGCCATTCTACTAATGTGTTCATTTCACCCCTGTTTCCGTTTTGTCACCCATCCATTTATGTTTTCTATATTGCATGCTCTTCTTATGCGCTTCTCTCCCTATCCAACAGAGTCTTTCCTGATATTCGTCGGAGTATTTTCATCTCTGTTGTTTCTAATAGTAGTCTTGTTTTAGATGTGTCAGGTCTTGTCTCCGCCTTGTATGTTAATATAGGTCGAACTGCTGCTTTATAGATTATTGTTTTTCTGTCTTGTCTTAGGTGTTTGTTCTTCCAGATTGTGTCATCCCGCCGCTTTACTTGCTTTTAAGCTTTGTTGTCGCACTTCTTCATCATCTTGTAACTAGTTATAAAGGTAATGGATTTTGACAAGAGCTATGACCTTGTAAATAACAGATAAACTTGTGTACTGAATCGGCATGACTCGTAGCTCTTGTTAAAATCCATTACCTCTACCTAACTATTCCCAGATATATAAACCTTGATTCGTGCTTTATTATTTTCCCATTAATTTCGAATTTACATTGTAATGGGTATTTAGATGTTGTCATACATTTGGTTTTTTTGCTAATATTATCAAATTTCTATATATTTCTTTGTTGTATTGAAAATGTGTGTTAATCTTTGGAGCTCGTCTTCTGTCCCGGCGATTAATGTGGCGTCGTCTGCATAACATAATATTTGGATTTCTTTGTTTCCCATTCTGTAACTATGACCTTTACGTACTGCTTGTATTATTTCATCCATTATTATATTAAAGAGAAGTGGGCTTAACGAGTCACCCTATCTGACTCACCTTTGTACTGGTACACACTGTGTTAGTTTTCCATTTATCTTTGCTGTATTCGATTATGTAAGTAGATGTTTTCTATCATCATCATCATCAACATGCAAGCTCTTCTATCCACTGCTGAACATAGGTCTCTCCCATTTTTCGCCACTCTTCACGGTTCTGTGTTTTTGTTGCCATTTCTTGGATATTCGTCGAATGTCGTCCATCTAGCGTGTTGGTGGCCGTCCTCTGTTGCGTTTGTCTTCTCGTGGGCGCCAGACAATTAGTTTTCTGGTCCAACTTGTCTCTTTCAGTCTCGCTATGTGACCTGCCCAATTCCATTTCAGCTTGGCTATACGTTCGACGACATCACTGACACCTGTTCTTTTCCTTAAGTCTTGATTCCTTATTTTGTAACGCCGAGAATTGATCTTTCCATTGCGCCTCTGTGCCACTCGCATTTTTAGTGCTGTTGTTTTTGTGAGCATAGGAGTTTGTGCTCCGTATGCCATACTAGGAAGAACGCATTGGTGAAATATCTTCCGTTTCATAGCTATCGTGATGTTGCTCTTAAAGATGTCTCTTAGTGAACCATACGCCGCCCAAACAAGTGTTATTTGTCGTTGTAATTGAGGTATGGTTGTCCATGCCTATTCTGATTTCATGACCAAGATATATGTACTTTTCTGTCAATTCTACCACTTGGCTGTAAGACCAAAAAGATGCAAAAATGTTTGTCACTCCAAGCCTCGGGCTTCCCCCTAAAGTCCCCCTCACATGGGGGAAGCGAAACGGAAAAAATCGATTTGTCAAGAATCTGTACGTTTTAGAAAAAAATTTAAATGTAGCGGATATAATTTTGAATAAAACTGTTTATTTTCACTTTTTCTGTATAATAAACCGTTCTCTCAGAAACAACGCTTGAAGCGACCGGCGATTTCGAATATCAGTTCAATTTGGCGCACTTAAAATCATTTGTTTTAATACAATTCATTGATATGTATTATTTCAACGGTAAAAATTCGATATCTTCTTATCAGAGTGTCCTATGGACTAAAATCAGTTTAAAAATATAGTTTTTGCATTTTGCATATAGCAATAAAAGCACAAACAACTCCCATTTCTGGCGAGCGAACAAAAACAGGAACTTTTACTTGACTTTACTTTGACTACCTGGCGAAAATGCCAAACCCCCTACTCTTTCAAGATCTTAGGCGGGGATGAATTTAATTCTCACGCATGGATGATTTTTCGCTTGTAAAAATTCCCCCAGTTCGCGGAGTGAAGAGCCCCGTCTCTTAACCTGAAATCGGCTGATCGACGCTCTATTTACCTCTAAATCGGGCGTATCCTGATTAAAAACTCAGTCATTATTTTTAAATTTCTATAGGCGGAACAGAAAAGAAACGAATTGAAGAGAGAGACCACTATTCTTATTTCAGAGTACCACTGGTGTTAGTAAATGACTACATCCATCGAGCAACATCCTTCCTTCAGGCCAGGGGCCCTCTAGCTGGATTATGTTGCTTTCCGGGCATTATAATCTTAATAACACCCTTGGTGCATAAATAACTATTCAACTATTGCTTTTTATGATGATAATGAAGAGTATATGGCAGGAAGAATGCTCATTTGTACAATCAGAATTTAAACCAGCAAAAATGTGTGCCCTAGATCTTCTCTCTCTTATATACGCCACAGCCCGAGCGCCCTTGCTGTCATAGGCGCTTCCATAAAGATTAAAAAACAATATTTTAAAATGAAATAGGCCCAACATACTTATCGGAAAATGATGGAACAAGGTTTGAACTTGAATTTAGGTCCTTGACGAATTTAAAAATATATTTTTTATAATTTTTCAGTGTATCACTAAAAATGAGTGTTTATTTATATTATAATTAAAGGTAAATAATCATTTAATAAGACAATTAATACACACCACACAAACAAGCCACCAAACAGGTCAAATTGATAACAATATAAAAACATATTGTTTACTTCGAAGTTGTATCGAATTTAACTCGACTGGAAATCGGCACACGTCTTGGGAATGTTAGCATCTAATTTTAACAAGGAACTGTTGTTTCTTGTTGCTTTCTTTAATGCTTACAGGGTGGAATTCTTCGATGGAATTTTGTGTATTATGATAGTCGTTAGAGGCTTTATTAAACTTTTCATCTTTTAATTTCCTAACGTTAGAAAAAAAAAGGATTAACAATGTTATTTATGACCGGAAAAATTGTGTCGTGGAATTAGAAAGAGATTCTTTTAATCTCATATCTTCTCGACTATTTATTGAACAAATTGAATAGAAATGCTTTTTGCCGCTTCATACTCCTGGGCTGAGACTAGTGCTTCATTTAGCGATTTCTGATGTTGTAATCGGAGGGCTTGTTGCATTTCAACATTCTGTAGTCCATCTATGAATGCCTGTATTCCAATTTGTTCCAGAAAATCTTTAGGTGCCTGAGGGTATGCCAAGTGCAATAGTCTTTTAATGTCGGCTTCAAATTCTTGCAGGCTTTCGTTATGTTTTTGATATCGAATTTTTAGCCGACTTTAAAAAACCTGCTTTAGATGCTGCTGGCCTTATCTTGTCTCTAAAGCTTCAACGAGAGGGATAGAACTGGTTGCATCTTGGGGAAGGATTTGCAAAACGGTTGCTGCCTGTCCTCGAAGCGACACCACCAAAGAAGCTGACATTTCTTTTTCATTACAGCCATTTGCTCTAGCTGCAGCTTCAAATTGAAAACGATAAGTTTCCCATGCTGTCTGACCATCGAAAGTGGGTGGTTTTAAAATTTTACTAGTTCTAATTGTACCTGGTTCAATTAAGGAAGTTGATGAAGCTGTTTGTTTAGATTCGTCGTTAGTTACTGAAACATTAGATAAAGAGGCTTGGGTATTAATTTTTTTCTAAATCAACTATTTGTATTTGTAAATTAGATTTCAAATCATTTTGTTGTTGTTCTATTTTATTTTCAAAATTGTTTTGTTTTTCTTCTAAGTTATCTATTCTACTA